GTGATCCCGGCTCCCCGGCTCCAGGCGGCCGGCAGCTGACGGCTGTGCAGGTCGTGCTTTGTACAGGGGCGCCCACCCGAGGGGGCAAGTGGAGGATCAAATCCAGCCCTGGCTCTGCTATCCAGGACGTGCGCCCTGGCGATGGGACTGAGTCTGCCCGGAGGGGGCGCCTTTTTCCAATTTGAACAGAGGCACCCAATGGCCCAGGGGCTCTGCCCGCCCCCCCCAACCTGCCTGGAAGCCCTTAGACATTATTTATTATCGCGACAGCGTTGGATTTGGATTGTATTTGCCTGGGGATGGCGTTTCCTCGGAGTGGAGAGAACTCCTGGAGACCACATAGCCTGAATCCCCTGAAGTTCAGGCCTGCCGGGAGCTTCGTGCGCTAGGCCACACTAGTTCATGGTATCCATGCTACCGATCTATGTGTATCTACATATCTATTCTTTTTGGAAATTGCATTTGTAATAAAGGGGGTGCGAAACCCAGGCAGCCCCTAGAAACCCCAGGCCAGGGGTTGGTTTGAACAGTGAAGGGTTTGGTTTTCTGGCCCCTCCCTCCCTGGCGTCAGACCTTGGGTGAGGGTGCCCTATTGAGTGCTGAATGTAAGGAAGGAAGCTTCTGAGCACAGGGCACCCCCTCCCCCTCCGCCTCCCCCTCATCTTTCCTCTTGGAGGCCAGGGCCGCAAGACACTGGGAAGCTCCTGGGAGTCCCAGAACAAGGAGAGAACGAGCCTGGCAGCCCTTCTCAGACATGTTTCTTTTATTTCTTTTTATTTGTTTTAAATGGGGGATTCAAACTTGTAGCACTTTTCAGTTGTTTGTATTCAAATGACGGTTATTTTTGTATTCAATGTGAATATCCCTGACCAGCCTTTCTATGGCCAGCCGCTGGGCCCTTTGTCTCTTCTGTCCACTCTCCGCCCCAGGATTCGCCGCTCCTTGTCCCTGCCCCTGCCCCTGCCCCTAAGACAGGTGATCCTGTCAACCTCGCCGCTTTTCGCCTCCCTAAGGGCACTGTGCACTCAACTAGACGATTAACTTTTAAAAGATTTGTGAAGTTGGGAAGCTCAATTCGCTGTATTTTTCCCTTTAATTTATAAACTTTCAGTTTAACATGCCCTCCTGGACGCCTTGTTTTCTCTGAGCCTCTCTCCGCCTGGCTTTGGGGAAGCCAGTACCATGGAAATATCTGGGGTTCCATTTCCCAACCTCTTTTCAGTCCTGGACCCAGGCTGCCTGCCCCTCCTGGGAGCACCCTAGCTGGCCACCCCTCACCCCCTCCCCAGCGGGGGTGTGAACCCGTGCAGCTCAGGGAATCTCGGCTTCCGAGACTTTGCAGGAGCCCGAGACGAATCCCACTAATCAGGAGCGGATCCCTAGGATTCCCTTTTTCCTCGTGGGCGTTGGTTTCAGAGTCCAGGAAGAGACCATAGCTGAACCTGCGCCAGTTTCCATCCCTCGTCCTAACTTGCTGACCCCATCCACCTGCCTACATCTCTGGGCTTTCCATTTTCCGCGTGTTTTTCTAAGTGATTCTGGTTTTATTTTGTTTGGAGAATAGGCCAGCAAAAACCCTCGCTGAGATTCCGAAGGGATGAGGGGCGAACGAGGCTGTAATAAGGTGTCTCCCGGGAGGGTCACTTGCGCTCTGGCCTCAGCGGGGTGCAAAAGGCGCTTCCACTCCTCCCGGGCCCTGCGTCATTTGATCCGCACCGAAACCTAAGGCGGGAGCAGAGGAAGGGCTGGGCAAGGGTTCCTTGTTACCTGATTCTATAGAGGAATGAGCGCCAGAATGCCACGGATCCACCCGAGCAAAATGCGCACCGCTCCCCTCGCTCATGCCCGCCCGGCCCGGGCGAGCAAGAAGGGTTAACGCGCAGTGCAGGCGCCGAGGCCCCGAGCTGGGAAAGGCCGAAACAAGGCTCCGGCTACTTTCAATTTCACCTGGAGCCGACGGGCCGGCCGCCCTCCTCCTCTGGCCGCGACCTCACCCCGCCACGCGACCACCGGGCCTCGACACCCTGAAGGCGCAGGCCTGGCGTCTGCAGCCCCAGGGACCGGGCGGAGCGGAGAGTGTCCAGGAGCCTTTAAGAAACGGTTCCCGCTTCAGGAAACTGAGAAAAGCGAAGGGAAAGGCAAAGGCCCTCGGGAAGTGCACACCATCGTCCCCAAGCCCAGCTGCCTTCCAAACGGCTCCCGCAGTCATTTTGTGTCTTGTTGACACGTTTAGGAGTGAAATTTTAGTTTCCTATTCACGCATGCAATTTTTTTTTTTTGGTAGAAAGAACATTTCCGATAATGTTAGACTCTCCTCCCTTCCTCTCTCCAGAGGTCGCCACTACTGATTTGGGGGGAGGGAGGTGATTTTTTCCTCTTCTGAAACCGGCAGTTGGTTGTAGCTGCGTCCTAAGAGGGTGGTTTGTGCTCCATCCTTGCGGATTTGGAGTCCTGAGAACTGGGGAGGCCAGGCAGCGCCCCTACCCCTCTCGCCCTCTCTCCGGCTTCCTGCCAGGGCCAATTCTTCTGGGCTGGCTAGAGACTTCCGGGGAAAATGACTCAAACGGATTCCAACTGACCCGGATTGTTGCAGTTTCTCTCTGAACCGCCCCGTGGCCAGCGTTGGCGGGAGCGCCCTGAGATCCGGCAGCCCGAGGCAGCCCCTGGGTCCATCCTGGCCTCTGAGGATTTCCCGCTGCTCTGCGACCCAAGACGGGCGCCTTTACTGGGCCCTGCGCGGCAGACGCGGCTCCTGTTGGAAATGTGTAGCGTAACTATTTTCATTTCCTTTTCCTTCTGTACTCAGGCCTGGACCCTTTTTTTAGAGGATGAGGAACAATTGGTCCTGCTCCCTGCCTGCCCTGCAGGGGGGCGGGGGGAAGGCGATTCATGCGCCCCAGCTGCAGAGTTGGGCGCTGGTCTCGGGTCTGCTCTGGGCCTGGGGGAGCCCTGGGGGCTTCTGAACGCTTCATCTTTCTCAGTCCCCTTCAGCCCTTCCTGAATCTCAGAGCTGGCCTTGGGGGCCCACTGGGGACCCACACACTGAGGAGGGTAAACTAAGGCAGAAGGAATGGCTGGGAAAGAGGGGCAGAAAGGCTGCGACTCGCCCTGAAATCGGTCCCAAAGCTCCAGGCCCAGCCTATGAATCTCATTCTGGACTGCCAATGTCGCTGGTGTGTGTGTGTGTGTGTGTAACTCACGCTTCCTTCACGCCCCAAAGCCTGTGGGTCTTGGCCTTAGCCATCCCAAGTTGATTCCCACTCCAGCAAGTCCCACTCTCAGACCCCCAAGAGTATCCACCAAGCAGGGGGTGTATAGGGTGCCATCCATTCTGAAAATAAATGTCTTACAGGCCACTCTAGCAAAGGGGGAGAGGTGACAGCGAATCTGTTCATTGGAGAAGGTCCGAGGGAGGACTTGAATGTGCCTCCCCACACCTCTGACAGGTGGGATTGTGGTAGTTGCATCCCCAACTCAGAGAGGCTGGGGGAGGTGGCATCTGGGGGAGCGGGAACTGGCAGTGATGATAGCCACAGTCAGCCTTTCACCCAGGTAGGATCTCATCCAAGGCTTGCAGACTCCCCGAGGTGCGGGGGTGCAGTGACTGGGACTCCCCAACCAGCCCCCAGAGCTCAGTCCCAGGCAGGCCCACATTTCACTCGTGTTACCTCCCATCAGGGTTCGCCAGGAAAAGGCAGAACACGGCCTCCCACAAGTCCACGGAGTTCACCTCGCTTTACAGAAGTTCTCTTGCCGTTGCCGACAGAGCCTGAGCAGCAAGGAAATTAGGTATTTCCCCAAAGCCCCAAAAGCTGGTGGAGGAGCTCCTGGGCAGAAGGGAGAGTTGGGGAGCAGGCCGATCAGTGCTGGGGCCTAGGCCGTGGCCTAGGTGCCACAGGGCTTCAATCTTGCAGGTCACCAACCTCTCAGCTAACAATCATAGCTGGGAAGCACACAGAGCTGCGTGGGGACTGCGGGGCCCAGCAAATGCTTGACAGCACTTTGTAGGTCGGAGAGCGCTGAGGGCGGTAGGGGCAGGTTGTTGCTCTGGCTGGTGGCTTATGGCTACTGCAGAGGCCACGGCCACCATGCCCTGAGAAGGAAGGAAGCAGGCAAAGAGGCTCCTAATCTGAGGGAGGCCCGAAGGAGCAGCCAAAGAATACAGAACGACAGCGGTAACAACAGTGATAACTCCATTCGTTTGGGGCATTGCATTTCCTGCGTCTGCCCCGCACCAAGTCACAGGCCATTCAGAGGCTGAGTCAAGGTCCTTCAAAGCTCAGAAGCCTAGGAGCTGAGGTGATTGGGTGGGTGGACTGTGAGAGCGTGCCTCTCCCAGGCTTGGCTCTGGGATGGTGGGATCACAAAGTGTGGGTGTGCTTTCAAAACCCTTTGGCACTGCACAACCTGCATGGACTTACTAGTATTCTTGCCATTACTATTGTTGTTATTATTATGAACTTCTGGGCAGTGCTGATTTGGCTGATGTGTAATGATCTTCCTTGAACTACTGCCTCTGACAGAGGTTCCCAGGTGTCCTGCTGTGTGCTCACTGCAGGGTCCTCAGGTGTAGAGACGCTGGGCCTCGGCCAGGTTTCCATTCTCCGGATAAATATGCTTTAATGATGAAGAAATAACAAAGCAGGGTTGCAAAAAAAAATGTGCTATATTGTAAATGGCTACATCATGTAATAAATTAAGGGTGTGTTTTTTTCTGTAGTTGCACATAGAAGTTATTCAACAGAAATTGGGTTGTTCCAACCATTAAAGAATTCATAAAAGAAGATTGATTCCCAGGGCCCTGCAAGCAGGGGTAGTCCGTGGGGTTCCAGGTTATGTGGAACCGTGAACTTCGTTCAAACCTGTAGGGTGTGTATATGAGGCCATGCCTTCTGTGAAGGAAACGACAAAGGTCCATTCTGGGGGCAATTCACACATGTGAGAACTGGGCAAAGGGCCTGCAGCCCTACACCCCACCTGGGGCGCTATGACTATTGCAGCTTTTTGCTCTGAGCTGGCTTCTGGCAGACCCAGAGCTGAACCAGAATCCGACAAGCCCCGGAATAGCGAGCAAGGAAGGGTTAACGCGCTCTGCTCCTGTTGGGACGTCTTGTTCAAAGGGGATACTCAATAGCTGCGGAAGCCGGGGCATCACCATCCCTGGATCCTCCCACGAGGTAAGCTCGCTTCGGGGCTCTAAAGGTTCTTCCACGCTTTCGTGAGTGTGCGGGGAGTCATACGCCTAAAGCCCACGCTCTCATCCACTCTCCCTCCCTCCCACATGCAGCCTGGTTTCCTTCCTCGGTGCCCCCGCCCACAGTGCCTGTTAGGGTGCTGGAACCTTGCGGAGTCAAGGTCGCTTGGTCCCCGCACAGTCTGCACGCTCCCCAGCGAGCACCCGCGTCATCCCACCGTTTCTGCAATCGCCAGTTTAGCTTCTGGCCTGAGGATCCCGCGCAGGGGCTGCGCAGGCCCTGGAGCTTCTCGGAGAGTTCTTTCTGACCCGGCCCAGGCTCCTTCCCCTGGCGCCACACTCAGGCCTCCGGGCTGAGCAGCGTTCCCGTCGATGTGGTCCTGCGTCCCAGGGCGTTCCTGGGTGGGAAGTGGTCACATCGTGTTCACGGGCCTGACAGATCCAGGGAGCGATTCTGCCTCGGGCCTGGAGCCCACAGCCCCAGGGGGCAGCTCTGTCACTGACTTGATGAATTTTGGGCAATTAACTTCTCTTCTCTGTATCCCTATTTAAAAAATCAAAGAAAAACGTGGTGAGGCAGCTTTTAAGGCTCCTGGGTGATGTTTGGAGTCCATACCACCTCTGGCGTGGAGTGGAGATAAAGGACAAAACCTTTTCCTGCTTTAAATAATGAGCCATGCCCTTCGTGAGCAGGGTGTTTTTTTTGGGGGGGGGGTGTATTTTATCTATTTTTTGTTGTTGTTAATCCTCACCCGGGAGGATATATTTTTTGTTGATTGTTAGGGAGAGTGGAAGAGCGAGGGAAAGTCAGAAGGAAACATCGATGTGAAAGAAACACATCCATTGGTTGTCTCGTGCATGGTCAGGGCCCCGGCTGGAGAGGAGCCTACAACCAAGGAACGTGCCCTTAACCGGAATCTTTGGTGTGCCCTCCGATGCTCCATCCTCTGAGCCAAACCGGCCGGGGAAGCGGGTATTTTTTAAAAGGATTTGGGTCTCTCAAGTGGCCGCCCCAGGCCTCCCCAAGGTCTGTCTCTGGGCTCTCATCTGTCTCCTCTGGGTGGCCAGCTGTTTTTGGAAAATCCAGTTTTCCCCTCCTCGAGGACTTCTTCCACCCACCGCCCTTGGGAGGGAGGAGACTTAAAGCCAATCCACCTCTGTGGCTTCGCTGAGCTCCCGACAGGCCCTTGTCCTGGGATGAAAACCTGTTAAGAAGAAGAAATAAAAACACACCGAAAGCCACGGTGCTTTCTCTCCGGGGTCCACCAGAAAGCAAGGGTGGGCAGCGCGCCGTAAAACAAGAGCCAGTAAAGCGGCTTATTTTAATAAGCTTATTAACATTTTTGAATGGCTCCCCTTGTGCGCGCCAAGGCCTCCCTCGGTGCACTGCCCCGCGAGCTGTGCGGGCGGGGATTTTTACGCACCTACAAGCACACACGTGTGCGGGTGCCGCCGCCTTCCTGCCTGGGGAGGGGGGGGACGGGTTGGAGGGCGGGCAGGGGTGAAGGAGCAGCGCCCACGGTGCCAAAGCAGGACCACCGCGTTTCCCCTGGTCCACACCTAGCTGCGCGCGGGCCTCGGGATTGCAGCCAGCCACGGAGGGTACAGGGCTATGGGGTCAGAGGTCGCCAAGGAGCTCCAGTGACCTTGGATATGGCCCCCGAGTTGCCCCCACAGCGTCACAGGACTCTCAGGTCTGAGGGTTAGTCCTGCTGCACCACGCGCTTGCTGCTGTTTTTGTAAAGGGCAATGGGATTGGCGTTCCTCCCTGCGCAGGTATCACACGGATTCCTCTGGCGTTGGCCGGGTCCCCGCTGGCGCCCCGCCCCGCAGGTCCTGGACCCCGGGGACCTCCGGAAACCCCTGCCTTCCCAGGCTCCCCGCTCCCCTAGGAGGCCCAGGACGCTGGCCCTATCTATTTTTTTTTGTTGTTAATCCTCACCCGGGAGGATATATTTTTTGTTGATTGTTAGGGAGAGTGGAAGAGCGAGGGAAAGTCAGAAGGAAACATCGATGTGAAAGAAACACATCCATTGGTTGTCTCGTGCATGGTCAGGGCCCCGGCTGGAGAGGAGCCTACAACCAAGGAACGTGCCCTTAACCGGAATCTTTGGTGTGCCCTCCGATGCTCCATCCTCTGAGCCAAACCGGCCGGGGGAGCGGGTATTTTTAAAAAGGATTTGGGTCTCTCAAGTGGCCGCCCCAGGCCTCCCCAAGGTCTGTCTCTGGGCTCTCATCTGTCTCCTCTGGGTGGCCAGCTGTTTTTGGAAAATCCAGTTTTCCCCTCCTCGAGGACTTCTTCCACCCACCGCCCTTGGGAGGGAGGAGACTTAAAGCCAATCCACCTCTGTGGCTTCGCTGAGCTCCCGACAGGCCCTTGTCCTGGGATGAAAACCTGTTAAGAAGAAGAAATAAAAACACACCGAAAGCCACGGTGCTTTCTCTCCGGGGTCCACCAGAAAGCAAGGGTGGGCAGCGCGCCGTAAAACAAGAGCCAGTAAAGCGGCTTATTTTAATAAGCTTATTAACATTTTTGAATGGCTCCCCTTGTGCGCGCCAAGGCCTCCCTCGGTGCACTGCCCCGCGAGCTGTGCGGGCGGGGATTTTTACGCACCTACAAGCACACACGTGTGCGGGTGCCGCCGCCTTCCTGCCTGGGGAGGGGGGGGACGGGTTGGAGGGCGGGCAGGGGTGAAGGAGCAGCGCCCACGGTGCCAAAGCAGGACCACCGCGTTTCCCCTGGTCCACACCTAGCTGCGCGCGGGCCTCGGGATTGCAGCCAGCCACGGAGGGTACAGGGCTATGGGGTCAGAGGTCGCCAACAAGGAGCTCTGACCTTGGATATGGCCCCCGAGTTGCCCCCACAGCGTCACAGGACTCTCAGGTCTGAGGGTTAGTCCTGCTGCACCACGCGCTTGCTGCTGTTTTTGCAACGGGCAATGGGATTGGGGATTGGCGTTCCTCCCTGCGCAGGTATCGCACGGATTCCTCTGGCGTTGGCCGGGTCCCCGCTGGCGCCCTGCCCCGCAGGTCCTGGACCCCGGGGACCTCCGGAAACCCCTGCCTTCCCAGGCTCCCCGCTCCCCTAGGAGGCCCA